TGCGCGGTCCGCGGGGCAACGGACACTGCGCCGCGAAGCTGAATAAACTGGCGCAGACATTCAAGAAAGACATCTTCAAGAAATCTTAGAAAACTCACCATAATACGGTGAAAATCGTTTTGGCACGTTGACGGAACTTTTGAAATGTTGACGGTACGGATCCCCACCTGGAAGACATGAATGCTCGGTTGCTTACTGCACAATGCACTTGGAGTCGAGGGCTCACAATGGGCGCTTGGAAGGATGCTTGGATATCATTGGAGCAATGTCATTGGAAAGACGGGTTACAGCAAGTGCAAATGCGCTCTCCACAGTGACTCGAAGCCAAATTGAAACAAAAGAACTCATCATGGACGTTTCATTAGCATAGCCAGCGGCTGCTTCAGCGTATAATATATTACATATAAATGCAAGAATCTCCGTTCAATGTGGATGTGCGTTATGAAAGAAACAAAAGCACTCCTGTCAACAGCTAGGACTCAGGACCCAAAAATCCCAAAATATGGTAAAACTCAGAATTGGCTTTTGGGTGAATATGGTTTTGGAGGATAGCCATGGTTGTGCCTCCAACAGCTAGGACACCCATTGCCAATATTGCCAATTCTCCCAAACTCATTCGAGATACAATCATCATGGCTATCCTCGCTGTGAATTCGTTTTACACCGTTTCAACCCTTCAGTGCCTGACCTCGAGGGTGAGCCGTCACTCCTGGGAAGGGAGCTGTGACACACGAAACCGGTGTGACACACAACACACGAAACAAGACATCCCAGTTCCGAAGGTCCAGAGGCCAACGCACCAGAAATCACGTGAAAACCCACCGCTCCTGCCCTCATCTCCGAGTGTTGACGCTAGTGTTCCCCCCCCACTTTCAGCGAAAAAGGTACTCTTCTTCGACGCTGAACTCGACCCCGCGGAGTGGTGCTCCTGCCAGCGAGGCAATAGAAGGCCTGCCGCAGCAATTGCCATTCAGTGATGGCAGAGAAACACTGGCGCTGCAGCTGACGGTCTCGCACTCGGAGTGCCTGATCGTCGCACATCGCACGATGCGTCTGACAATTCCAATCCAGTATCAGCCACCCCCCGAAAGGCTCACCAACCTTCGAAAGGTTCGGAGGTTTTTTGTTGTTAAAGTAGAAACCGTCCGTTGAAATCCTCAGCAAGCGCCAAAAACGGCAATCGAACGACTTGGTAGGTTGATTGATCAAAAAGTATTTTCTTACTTGCAGCTCTCTTGCTTAAGTTTCGCACCAAAACGAGAGAACGACCAAGTCCCAGAACGTATAGAAGAGAGTGGGTGAAGCTTCACCTAGTCACTTTTATGCAATGGCAAACTCCAATCCTGAAGCCACGGCGCATGAAAAACCTCATCAAACCAAGTGCCCTTAGCCAAAAGTTCGGCTAAGAATTGGCAACTTCAAAGTCCTCTGAACCCAATTCAATCAGGTGCGTTCCCTCTCGCCAATCAGATTTGAGCAAGGGGCATTCATGAACGATTTGCACTTGTACGAACGATTTCGGAGCTGTTTTGAGCGGTTTGGTATGGTTTGCGAATGATTTTGCTCAGCCCGCCTTGCGCTGCCTTGCCAGGCGCAACGCGAGTTCCTTGAGGCACCGCTGTGCTGAGCGCTGCACATGCCGCAGCGCCAAACGCTCGGCATGCCGCTGCTGCTCACTCTGAGCCTGTGACTGGAGTAGATCTTCAAAAAAACTACTGAACATTGAACGCGCGCACAAAACCTGAAAACAAAACTCCTCAAAACGATGTAAAGGAACACCTCCCCGTCAAAAAATAACACACAAAAATTAAGTCCCTAAATATCAATGTGGGCCCCTTCCTGATAAAGGAACTCTGGACGGTTTTGGGTGCTGGGGGTTGGTTTCTCATGAAAGAGCAGGGTTGGAAGTAAAACAGGCCCCCCTTAATGGAAAACTACCACAAAAATACAGTAATGCGAATGTGAACACAGGATTAATAAACCGGCCCCCCCCACATGGAAGGTCAACAAGATCCAGAAGGTCTGAGGTACCATTCATGAGGTCCACCTCCTCTGAATAATCTGCTAAGAAAGCAGTACGAGTGGGAGACTAGGAGTAGTCGTACCCCTCCTATAGGTAGCGGCAGCAGTAGCCGGAGGCGGAGCCCGAGCAGGAGTAGTAGTAGTAGTAGTTGTTGTTGTTGTGGTGGTAGTAGTAGTAGAAGCAGTAGTAGAAGTAGTAGTTGTAGTAGAAGTGGTAGTAGAAGTAGTAGAAGTAGAAGTAGAAGTGGAAGTAGCAGTAGCAGTAGAAGTAGTAGTAGTGGTAGTAGTAATAGGAGTAGTAGTAGTAGTAGTAGTAGGAGTAGGAGTAGTAGTAGCAGAAGTAGTAGTAGTAGTAGTAGTGGTAGTAGTAGTCGTCGTCGTAGTAGTGGTGGTGGTAGTAGTAGTAGTAGTTGGAGCAGGAGCAGCTGGAGGAGGAGCAGCAGCAGCAGTAGTAGCAGTGGTGGTAGCAAACACAAAAGGCCAGGGATGCAGGATCAAATTAATGAGTCTAGGAGGTAGTAGTGCAGATTATTGATGGAGGACAGACCCTTGTGAGGGGTACCCTTAAGCTTCTCAATTGATTGTTCTTTATTGATTATTCAAAAGGAAGTTTATAGGCCCTGAACCCTAGGCATTTTCTGGAAATTCGCTAGAAAGTCAGCGGTGGGTAGTATCAGCAGTAGTAGCAACACTAGTAGTAGTAGTAGTAGCAGCAGTATCGGCAGTAGTAGTTGGCGTAGTAGGAGCAGCAAGCAGTACTAGCATTAGTAGTAGTAGTAGTAGCAGCAGTAGTAATAATAAAAATGGACCTGGTTGTGGGCTCGGATTAATTGGGGTGGTTTCCTGGGGTGGTTTCTATTTTGGGCTAGGGGAGGTGTATTGATCTTGACGTTACATTCCAATTCTTTTTTGGGTAGTTGTTTTCCGAAAAAAAAAAAAAAAAAAAAATTGTAAAGAGCAACAAATTAGAGGGTCTTCCATCTGATTTACAAGACCCTTTATTGCTAACATATTGATTCTTCGCTTGTAAGGACAAAATGGTTATGTTTTATATTAGAGTGAGTGAACTCAAGAGGCTTTTGCAGGTACCCTGATTCATGCAACATACATGGGAATCTATGGAACCTAACAGTTCACAAGAACAGGTGTTAAGGAGCACGAGTGTCAAACCCAATACATATATTTTTGGCGGACTGGAGACAAGTGCCTTTATTTGTAGAGGTATGTTTTATAGTAAGGCCGGGGGATCAACGACTTCCTGCAAAGAGCTGGCAGACCATCTGTATACCACAAGCGTCACACTTGCAACGCCGAAGGACACGTGTCCCTTCCATTCCCTTCCCACTTTGTGAATCACCTAGTTAGACCTAGCTTCGCTCCCGCTCTCGCAAATAGTATCCAACCATAGACCATAAGCCTAGAGAAGAAGTTTCCAATGAGATCATAATTGCGCCAATTCAGGACCAAATCACACTTCCCGTGGTATCATATAGGCTTCAAACACTTGCGGCCCTTGAAAAACAAAAAATGATCCCTTCAACCCCCAGTGAACTCCTGTGGTCAGTCGCCAATGCTCCTCGAGGTCCTGACCACTCCTTGAGATGCCGAGACGCCCTGTCGCGCAACATCATGCTGCGTGCGGACGGGCGCAGGGCGAGAAAGAGCCGCCGCAAGCGGAGTTTTTGGCTTTCCAGCAAGGTGTGTTGGAACCACCTGGCCAAGGGCGAGATGAAGGGTGTGTTTGAACCGAATCCCCCTGCATTTCATGCCAAACAAAGGGCTTGAAAGGCACTTTTGGGAGGGAACATACAAGCCGACATTCATATGGCTTGAGAAAACGACGCCTTTGCATTCCTTCGTTCCCTTCAGGTCCTTTTCATGTGTTTCAGAACGGTCTTCATTTCATTGCCACTCCATCAGTGTGGGACCCAAACAACCGAATCCTAAAGCATAATACATATATAGTAACGCCAAGTGTAACTCAGAATAATTGTCATAAATATATGCATATATATATACATCTCTTCGTAGTGGTCATCTACAACACATCCAACTACTGCCCCCTGACCCTCCTGTCCAGCCCGCCTTTTGTAATCTGCCCAATGCAGCAAGGCACCGCGCTTTGCGTGGCGCGCTTGCCGGTTGCTGAGCACCTCTTCCCAAAAGACAGAGGTGCCACTGACACCTTGGCAGCATCAACAATACCAGTAAGCATGGTCCATATGTGGACCGGTTGAAATATATTGTTCATGTTCCGCGATGCACCAAAAATACGGGGAAGATGCATCCACTGGTGTTTTCCTACGGCCTAGGCAGCAAACGCAGAAAAAGTCTATTTCGATCAAAAGGTGGACCGCTCCCAACCAAGGACTCTAGGCAAGGACTCTATGCACACTCCTTAGCATTCACCGGCCCCAGGTAGGGAGGCCGTGCAGTCTGCGCTTCCTCGAACTTCCTGAAACGCTGCATCTGGACCGCCACATCGGGAAGCTGCACGAGCTCGCTCACATCGAGAGGGGGATCGCTTCGTTGCGCCTGCGCCACCAACTTAGCTGCCGTGAGAGAGTCCGTGGCTTTCAAGCCACCTCTCAGAGTCTCACCCCTGAGACGCCTTCTCCCGGTTTCCGAGGAAAAGCACTCCACGCGTGTGCTATCATAAGCCCGCTCCGTCTGAACCCAGCGTGTGCTTGACAGATTCATCTGTTGAGTGAACTTGACACCTGCCTTCTCAAGAACCTCCTTTGAAGCTAGGAAGTCGACCTCAAGTGCTGTCATGTCTGTGCGGTGTGACCCCGCACACCTGACAGCCAAGCGCACTGCCTCTGGACAGCCTATCTTTTCAGTCCTTTGGTGGGGATGTCTATTGAAAAATCCCATCACCAGCAAAGCCCCGCCTCGAGGTATCGGGTCTGATGCAGTTGCTGTAATCTATCCAGAGTCCAGAAAGACCGCACGCGGACAGTACAAAAAACCACGTGGCGCAAGTCGACTTTGCGCAAAAATGAAGGGCACGACTGGACAGGAATCGCATGCCGCACAAAAACGAGACAGAGTATCCTCCTGTGATCCTCTCGCTTCAGGATCTTCTGTAGGTATATTGTGGAGCAGACAAACATGGTTCAAACAATCCGTCACATCCATAGCCGAGGCTACCCATTGCATATCTTGTTCAAGTGCAGCCTTCCAACTATCCTCCAGATCACTGGCTTATGTCCATCTCGTGGATGGGGACCGCAGGCCCATGTCTTGCCACTTGCCACCCTTGCTTCCAAGAGAAATCTTTGCTGGGCCAATCGGATTTTCACTGGCACAGAGCCAGCGCACTGGAGGATTTCCACATCTGTCTGAACTTGCTGCCACCTGATTGAGCACCCTTCAAACGATGCCCATGTAGCAGTTCTTCAGCTTCCTCAGCTCCACATCAGGGACTGGGGGCCAGCCTCCGCATCCGAAGAAAAGCTTTGAGAAGATCAAGCTCTCCATCACATGGAGTCGGCAGAGATGTGGGTGTGGGAGCACCCAGTCACTTTCATTTAGGAGGAGAACATATTTCCCACACCACTGCATTCTCACGCTCTCATGGTGGGATACGCACTTGTACCAATGAGCTCGCATCCCAGTCTTCAAGACCTTCAATCTCTCCAAAATGAAATGAAAGGCCTCCGCCCTCAAAACTCGTCCTCTCCTGCAGTATTTTGATACTTGGGAATGCCATCTCACTATCTCCCCGTACAGGGGTAAGGGATCAAAATAAAAATAAAAAAAGAATCAACAAAAAATATTCAACGGGGATCAATAAAAAAATAAAAAGGGAATAAAAAAAAATATTCTAGCCCACTGCCCCTCCTAGTAGGGAGCTATTTCTACTGGTGAACCATTTTTCGAGTAGGGCTACTCAATGACTGGACGGCAACCTTATCGTTGGGTACCTACTTTCTTCCCAGGGAGCTGCCTCTAGTAGAAAGCAATCAAGCCTCTATTTGCGCAAGCAGGGGACCAGGAGATCGACAGACGAGCGCCGTAGGAGAGCAAAAGACCAGCGGACCAGGAGACAGAAGGACTAGGATACCAGGGGACCAGCGGACCACAGGACCAGAGGACCAGGAGACCGGAGGACTAGGGGACCAGTGGACTGAAGGACCAAGGGACCAGGGGACCGAAGGACCAGTGGACCAGAGGACCAAGGGACCAAAGGACCAAGGGACCACATTACCAGAGGACCCGCAGACCACAAGGCCAAGAGAGCAGCAGAAGAGGCCTATCAAGGAATATTTATTTTTTGATTCGCTTTTTATTTTTTTTGATCATGTTTTTACTTTTTTTTGATGCTCTTTTTATTTTTTTTTTGATACCTATGCCCCCGTACAGTGAGAGGTCCTCCAAGCAGAAAAAGGACACCCAAAATCCATTGAAACACGTTGGGCTCAACTTCCTTCTCGATGACCCCATAGATTTTTCCTCAAAGTAGCCAAACTCCTCATGCCTCACTTCTGTTCAATTTCGGCTTTTTTGTTGACCCATGAGCAGAGTTTCTTTGAATTGTGTAGGGTGTTACCATGAAGGGCGCCTACGGCAAAGCCTACCATTCGCCTACGTTTCCACAGTGCCAGCCTACGACACACATGCGCAGCACCTTTGCCTACGGTAACAGTGGGGAACCTGTTTTTCTACAAGGAGACTATCAAACAGCAAACCTGTCAATCTTCAGCTACTGGCAACTGGTAGTGCTACTAGTGTTACTAGTGCTGCTACTGCTGCTGCTACTACTACTCCTCTTGCTGCCGCCGCTCCTGGCGGCTGCTGCTGGTGCTCCTACTACTCCTGGCGCGTCAACTTTTGACGAGCGATCTAAGTGTTCAGGATCCAAAACCTTGACAAAGGGAGACCGGCACCGCTCGCCTTGAGTCCTTGAGCCCATCCTTGACAGACTCCCCGGACAAGAAGTTGGAAAGGAAATGCATGGGATTTCTCCCACTTCTGACAACAGCCATACCTGGAAGCTTCGGGTCACACGTTGTGGCGTAACCGGCGTCACCCCACCACCCGGATCGAACCGCTTCACGAAGGACGATGATCGGTTTTTCCTTTCCAAGGGGCCCTCGCGGCTGGCACTGCAGCAAGCACGAAGTAGCAATTGCTCATGCACCGCCAGGCCTCGCCATGCAATGCTTACCCTCCCTAGAACTCACATGGAAGTGGATGGCATGGTCCCTTGGAAGACCATGTTCCTCTTCAAACAGTGCTGTACCCTCTGCATGTGGCCTCACGCCTCACAGCTTCGTGCGTCCGTCTGTGCCCACCTCTTCGCAGCGGCTCGGCCGTACTGCCTTAGTGGAACATGTGGGGACGGGTCATCCGATGCGTTCGCCCAACGATCCAGCCAAGACATAGGGCTAGACAGTCTGGTCCACGTTCGGTGGCGAGCTTTCGACCTGAATTTCGTTCAATGTCTGGATCTTGGCCATGTGGGGCGATCGGTTGGAGGCCATCGCTGTGTTCGAAATGGACGAGGAATTGGTCCAATTCCTCCATTGGACCATGGGACCCCCAGTCCACTGACCACCGGGTCCAGTCGACGGACGCGTTGGTCCCGAGGTCTGCCCCACATGGGCGAAGCTCGCTGTGTTCTGAGCTGGACTGGATCCGATCGTTCTGGAAGGCTGAATGAAGGGTGACTAGTTATGGACATCCTGTTTCTAACCGAAAGAACGACCGAAAGAACGACCTCCACCGCAAAGCATGGGTTGAAGGGCGAATACACCACACATCACCACACATCACCATGCGCGACAAAAATGACGAGCGACTGGTGGAGCTTCTTTCTTCCCCCATGGTGGGGATGTCTTCAAAAGCGAGCCCTTCACAGGGGCTCAAAAGCAACTGGGACCAAAGTTTCTGAGTTCGCCCTGCAAATACTCCTCATATAGATCCTCATAGTGACGTCGTGCAGGACTGACTTTGTGCTAACAGTATCACATAGTATCACCCTTCTTATATCACCCTTACCCTTCTCAACTAAAGAGTTTAGTTTGGCCCAATTCAATTGAAGAAATCGCCAGTTTGGCCGGTTTTTGAAGTCGCGGGCCTTGATTTTCTGACTCTGGGGACCCTCCAATCCAACCAGATAGAAAACCTTCAGCAGACCAGTTGCGTATATCCCAATGTCCAAACTTTCCCACCTTCCTCACTTCTCTTTCTATTCCTCATAGCCTCATAGGATCTCATAGGTACCCGTATACTACAGGTCCAGGTGCTTCCCTTTCGTCACCTATCACGATGACGAACGCTTCACCCTGCAGACTGGCGATTGCATCGCAGTTTTCACACCCGTCTCTGCCGCTGCCGCCCTCTCCAGGTGAGACTGGAGTCGGGACCTTTTGCATCCAAGGTGCACAAAACATCACAGCTATCAGCCTGGCTATCAGCCATCACAGCCAGTGAAACGTTCCCAAAAAAATATGTGACACAAACAGCTCAATGACCCAAATGTCCAAGGCTTCCCTGAGGGGCCGTGAGTGTTCTCTCACAATTATCTTTGAGTTGATAACTCTCGCCAGAGCCCTAAGGTTGTTATCGTAAAGGCTCTGATTAAATGCAACTTTGCTTGGGGAATGGGAAGTATGTAGCTTTATGCAACATGTTTTGGGGCCAGGTAAGATCGTTTGATGACATTGGATTATATTTCAGTATGCCACTTGCGTGGTTATATGCGTGATTCTTCCCTCATCGTTTGCTCCTTGAGAGTTCAAACAGCCGCAGGTGAATTGAAAGAATCCCAGTCACTTCGCCGATGGCCAGTCGTTGCGAACGAAGGTTGGTCGCGGACCACGGGGCGCTGCTCAAAGCAGGCACCTCCGCCTCCCTTGTCTTGTCCCTTCGCCCAGGCTCCCGACCAGTGGACGCCGGCGCAACCTCCGGTAGGGGTGTGTTCGCGGATTTCAACCCGCACCACGAACGAACGACGGCCCAGGGGGTCCCCGAGTCCTAATCGATGTGTTTTTGTTGCCTATATATAATAGAAAAAA